TGTAGAAATCGGCTGATCTGTCGTCCGTCCGCGTGCGTCCGCACAGTTGGGCCACAATCTTAGAGCGCGTCGACGTACGGTTTCAGCGTATTCGGCGCACATGTGGTGTTGGGATTTCGTCAAAACGGTGGGGAGGGTCGAAGCTGGGCAAGGTCGAAGGTTCAAGAGGATGTAAAGTAAAGGGGAAGCTTCGATCCTGTAACTTAGGTATAGGAGGAAGTATATTGCCGCACTGGTGCAACACAACATCTAAACGCGCTCGACCTAGGCTCGTCGATAGTCGGTGTATAGCATCATGTAGGAAAAGCCATCACTGTGCCGAAATTGGAGCCGTCACAGGTCAAAGGTCAATGGGGCACAGGGGCAGATTTTGGACGCGGAGCGATCTGAAGGAAACTTTATTTGTTTCAGACGGTGACTGGCATTTTTTGATGGCATTTATTGAAGGACATGAAATCTACTTTCGTTGGACATGCGAAGAGTAAAGTGTCAGATAACCTTTTGACCCGTCAAGAGGAGGGTTAACTATGATTTGTTGACTGTCTGTTTAGAAAGAATTTGACTGCCGGGTTTGCTAGTTGAGACATCTATAGCATGCCTGATCGTATGAGGCTACAAATGCGGCGCAGGTGAGAGTTTTGCTGTGAAGCTAATTAAAGAGAAGGTTTGATGCTCCTTAATCGTATAATTGCTATGGCATTTCTGGTGACTGTCAGGTTATGGTTACGTAACGTGATGCCATGCCAGTGGCTTACTGCCAGTGATGTGTATTGGTATCTGTTGTAGTTTGCTGCGTTAATTGGTACAGGAGGCAGCTCTCTATTGCAGCTGTAGGCTTGCGAGGTAAATGGGTTATGAGAGTGCGTATAGGTATCAGAGTAGTTGCGCGCATACAGTGGCGGAAAATCGGTCAGCGTGATCTGCCCGAGTTGTTTCAAATGATCAACACGCTTGGGCCCGCTCTAGTACAGCGGTATGGATACGCTGGTACATATGGCTCTTATGAATAATGTAGGTCTAATGTGTGTTCAATAAAGTGTGTGAGTTTCAGAGATTTTATGATGTATGATGATATTGTTTTGGTGTGAGGAGAGTGTTATAAGGGAATTGGGGCAAGACATATATGTACAGCTGCGGAGGCGGGCGGTGGGGTTCCGTTGGCGGCGTGTGCTGGCGCGGCGCAGTGGAGAGTGGGAAACGCATTGTTTGAATACTTACTAGCTGGCGGTTACGACTGAGAAATGCAATTGAATGCACAGGCTGCGAACGTATGTGAGGTACTTTCTTGGTAATTAAGAACATGTATTATTAAACACATGTGTTTATCTATGATCTCTGTGATTCTTTGGGAGTTTATTGAAGCGCGGGAGTGGTTTAATTAATTAGCAAGTTGTCTACGCGCGGCGCGCGCAGTGCGCGGGGGTATCGCACATGGCTGAATATTATATATACGCGACGGCTATTGGGCGGTTAAGAAAGGTGTGAGCAATTGAAGAACTATCCTCATTGGCCGTCTCGCAACGAATTTCGAGTTTACATTTCTTATCATAGATCTAGCTACACATAGACACAGTGTCTTGTAGCTATAATCTCTGTAATTTTTTGAGTTTATTGAAGCACGATTAGTCTAATTATTACTACAGACCATTTGTACAGCGGCTCATCAGGCTACAGCGGTGTTGTCATTTGGAAAAACATGGAGTGTCAAATCCTGAGGTCTGGCGCTAGGCCTCTCTGTATATAGGCGACTCTAGGTAATGGATGAGCTGCTTACCTATTCGTGTCTTGCAATAGTTGTTCTGCTTACTACGTATGATGGCGGAGTTCCATCTTTATCTGAAGACACTTAACGTGAGCGCATCTTCGTGGCAATGTAGCTTTTCTAGACGGACTCCCAACGAACATTTCTGTCTGAGAAGCGCCTTCCTCGAACATCCCTGTTGCATTCCACTGTTCTCGGCTTGTATGTGCACGAATTTGGTGTTTATTACAGAGTAACAAAACAATAAGCAATCTAGAAGTAGTGACTAGTGAAGCATCTGTACATGTAGAGAGAGAAGAGTGAGAACTGAGAAGGGGAGTGGTGGACAGAATGGTAGTATGGTACTATGATAAAACTTCTACTAAAAATTCTAAAAGATCTATGGGAGAAGTCAGAGGTGTCGGAGCTTCGAAGGCGGCATTGTGAATGCGAATCGATTCAAAGGATGTTTGGATCATGAGTTACAAGTGTGATTAGTGATATGTAGTAATGTAAATACAATTATGGGTACATGTATTAACAGAAAATTTGACACACTCATGGAATTAATAATACATACAATTTACATTGATGCCCCCATCCCCACAAATAAAATAAGAGTACATTACATATATTGATTATATTACGTATTTTTCCGAAAATTTGAAACTATGAAAATGGCTCTGGATACATAAACAATGGCTCTGGTAAATTTTTGACAAGTCAGAAAAATGGCTCTGGTGAAAAAAAAAAGTATTTTTTACCCTGGTTATATATATATATATATATTATAATATTAGTCAGAAATAGCTAAACGAGCTAGGATAAACAGCGGTCAGGGGGACACAGACCTTATCTGCGACCATGACAGTCCTGTGTACATAAAGTTTTAAAGATGTAGAAGTTGAGCTCATCTGTACTAGATCAGAAAGTTTTCGCAACTAGAATTGTGCCAAGGTAACACTCTCACTAGGTATATTTGTAAACACTAACACTAACACTAGCTTAGGCTGAGTGGGTCTATGTCCCACAGGGTACTGCCGGAACGTACCCTGGGTACGGTCTGGTATACCGAAACGTACCCAAGTACTATCTAATATGCTGGACTGTACCTCGCCTACTCCACTAAAGAGTCTAGTGAGTCGCCTACTCCCTAACCCTAACCCTAACCCTAACCATATCAGATAGTTACCAGGGTACGTTCCGGTATAACGGACCGTACCCAGGGTACGTTCCGGCAGTACCCTGGGGGACATAGACCCTATGAGCCTAACTTAGTAAGAGTAAGAGTAACACAGACAAGTCATTGTTTGTTGTTGTTCACATCATTCCATTTATCTTCGCAGGGTTATTGATGGTGGATTTCAGTCATCAGTGTCACACGCATGCATGGAGGACATAGAGTCACTGTTCTCCGTGGAAGTTATTGTTGACAGCGTGCGTCTCTTCCACGGTGCGCATTGCATTTCCCCTGCCGTCGCATTCAGGTTGTTGGACCTGCCCAGCTTGTTAATCCAGCCGTCGAAACCCAGACAAGCGGAGCGGCACGGGCATGTTTCGGGCACAGATACGTGCAGCCATATCTACTCGCTGACGGAAAGAGAACCAGGCAAGGAAACGGGTTGCATAAGTTTTTGTCGAGGGAAGTCATGCCTCTTCAAAACGTCGCTGCGAGTGCTTGCAAGCGGGCTCACAAATACACCAATGTATATTCTGCTCATAGATGGACGCCGGCTTGTTGGAAGCGTCGCTCTACCCCTAGTCACGACGCTGAGCCGCATCAGGAGCGACACGCGGCGGTCTGGTCTAGAACTGCCGTGTGTTCACGGTCACCGTGGCACGTACACGCTACACAATGCTATGGGCACCACAGTCGGTGAGGTCGTCTGCTCGTACAGGATAGGCAGTCTCGGTTCGGCTCTCTTGGGGCACGTGCACGAGGGCAGCCTCTCTGCCATTCGGTCGCAGATCAAAGCTGCAGTTGCTACTGGTGAAACAGTGTCAGTAGAGGTGAGGAGCGCCTCAAGTATGAGTGTCAGACAACAGCCTGCTGATGATGAAAAATCACACTGCATCAGTATTCGAAGTATTGCAGCGCCTGAACAGAAATCTCTGCAAGTCTGTGCGGAAGCGTCTAGTGAGGAAGCAGTGCAAGGACTGCAGTTGTCTCAGTCTGTAAATGTAACAATGGCAAGCCGAGACGCACCAGCTCATCCAGTGACTGTTCGTAACGACAGGAATGTCATGTTGCCTGCGCCTCTGTATTATCAGTCACACTCTCTTCAGCATACAGTGCAGAGTTATTCGGGCAACATGGCTGACCCCATGGACATCTCCTCAGAGAAGCTGCTGTGGCAGCGTCTGAAACCCGAGAGAGATGGGGTAGAGGAAAAAGCTGATGAGACCATAAGTGGTGATGCTGCGATTTCCTCATCCCACCATGAAGGTGTCCCTGCTGTTTCACCTCCAAATTCTCACAAGGCTAGCGTCCCTGTGGTACAACCGCACAAGACTTCATCAACAATGCCAGGTGGCAGGTCGCATGGCGATATTTCTCTGCTGAAAGCATTGCTAGAACAGCTGAAGATTGCATGTGGGGAACTCTCACCTCACGTAGATACTGGCAAATCCTGTAGAAATGGTGTGGAATCTGCAACCACCAACACTCTGCACCATCAGCAGCAGCCACTATCAGTGAGTGCTCACAGAGGGCGGGGAAGACCAGCTGCTGGCCTTAGGATGCAGACAACCAAGGAGCAAAGTGCTAACAAGAAGTCAAGATCAGCTCCAACGTCCAATTTCCAACCGGAACGGAAACTTAAAGTGATGTTAACAAAGACAGTGCGACTTAGAATGGCACAAAATAAGCCAATTGCAAAAAACAAGATTCTACTGGAGTCGTGCGTTAGAGACAAGTACGCTAGAAAGAGACCTCAACATAGATCTCCACAAGCTCATGATGTTGGCATCATGACAGATGCTCAACTGTTTGAGCAGAAAAGAAGAGCTAGCAGCGTTGCACCCGAGGTTGAGGTAATATCTGAAATTGATCGTTTATCCTCCTCATTAGAGAAACATGTTAGTCAGCCAGTCGGTAAGATACCAAAAATTAGAATGTGCCCAAACTGCTCTACACAGCTAGATTTGGGAGACACAACTGTGCTTGGCAAGACACCAGCAGCATGTGGTTTTGAAGACCACAATAGTAAAAATGCTAGAACAGCTTCGACTCCTCTGTCATACAGAGATTTGGAGAAAAAATCTACTGCCCCATCGGACAGAGCAGTAGGAAGTGTCACAACCCCTCTACATGGTGAAGATGTAGAGAGGGACACCAACGCTTCATCGGACAATAGTGTGGGACAAGTCACGGTGACCAACCCAGAAAATGAGTCTGAGAACAATGCAGCTGATGTCTATTCGCTATCGTTTGATTCAGAGATGTCGCATAGTTTGGTAACAGATACGTATCATGAGGCTTACACCAGCCTTGCTAGTTCAAAGAGATTGGTGACAGGCAAGTCACAGAGCTTCCAGAGAAGTAGCTCCGTCAGCACCGTGACAGACGGAGTAGTACCAGAATCACTTATTGATGAGAATTCATCACAAGTATCTACCAGCCCTGACCATTCGGGGAAGAACAGCGAGGATTCTGTAAGTTCCGCTGATATAGGCACACCTGTGTCAAATTCTGGGGCCACGGCCTTCTTCAGTGGAGCAACGACCATAGTCCCTGGGTTACGTACGATCCAGGTTCTACCAGCTGATACGCGAGCTTACGAACATATTATCAGTGCCGAGAAGAGTGGCAGCGTAAAGATGACAAATGCCATCTCCGAAACTCCTATCGAGCCTGTGCTTGCTGCGGACGTTCAACCTGATGGGCACTCCTTGAGTAACAGTGGATATGTAGAGAATAATCTGAGAAGCGGACAGGTGGTTGTGTCTGAAGCACTCGGGGCAGCAGCGGGGGCAGGAAACGAGAGCTCCACCCAGCCTACCGATGTTGCACAAACAGTGACACCACTTGTCGTCCAACCGTCGCCTAACCTAGTTAGACGTATCCAGTCGCGCACCCTACAAAAGCAACTTTCGGTCCGGGACGATGACGTAAATTCATCGGCTGAGAGCACAGCTGTCGTCCGCCGCACTGCTCCGACGTTGACGCGCTCCCAGTTGGGAAGGACGAGGGTGTTACAGAGGACAATCCACACCGAGTCAGTGAGCTCTTACGCTCCGTCTGTCGACGCGAATGATATGGCGACAAGCTCTGTTGGGTCGGCGTTTGAAGTTCAGGGACTAAGTACAAGTACGGACAGCGACACTTGATCCATTACACCGTGACTGAATTACATGCCATTATGGGACAGACTCCTTGGGCCACTGAAGGCTACATGACAAATGATGGCTGCATTAGCCGATGACGCTTCCTGCTGACAGGTTCTTATAAAGTACTGGTTCTGCTTATAACTGACACTGTGCCCTCTACATTTACTCACTGGCCATTTCATAGCCATAGTTTTTCGTTATGCAAGAAAAACATTTTGCCAAATGAGCATGTGCATGCACGTTTAGTTTGTACATCGTGAGTTTAAACTATGTATAGTTGTGTATAATCTGAATATAGAATAATTAATTTGTAGTACAATAATAATTATATATAATATATGAATAATAGATTAAAAGATGTCATCTTAATCAGAAGTTGGTAGGAGGTTTTTCGTCGTAAAATTTTTGTCCGCACTATAATGCGTTTGTGTGTATGTGCGTGCGGGCGTGTGTGTCGCACGCGTATGTGTGTGCGTGCGCGTGTGTGGAGGGGCGTATATGTATGTATGATTACGCACACAAACACAAACACACACACACACACACACACACACATCACAATTCCACAAAAAAGTATTTCAAAAATAATTAATGTATTTGGCACTATTTGCATCCAATGTGCAATATCAAAAAATGGATTATGTTTATCCTCCACCCACTTCCCTTCCTTACCTTCGACTCCCCTATCGATTTCCGCTATCTCTCTCTCTCTCTCTCTCTCTCTCTCTCTCTCTCTCTCTC